CCTCCTTGCAGCACTCATCAAAGTTCCCTTTGACTCTGAAGACGGCATTAATCTCTACAAAGTGGCGGTTCGAGAAGCTACAAAAAGCGTTTCGCAATCCACTTCTACGACAACGGAACTATCACAAGCTGCCATCAAGCTCCTGGCTGTTGTGTTACGCGAGCGCAAGGACGTGGTCGTCAAGGATGCTGCAATAGACATGTTGCTTAGTAGCCTCAAAGAAGATTTCACGGAACCCCTCTATCGACACGTCACATTCAACTTCTTGCGGTCAGTCATGGATCGCCGAGTCGAGACAGCCGTTGTCTATGACACTTTAGATCATGCGGGTACAGTCATGATTACGAACGACGACAAGGACACAAGGGACCTGGCTCGTGGTGCTTTCTTCCAATTCATTCGAGAATATCCTCAGAAGAAGGCGCGCTGGAGCAAACAACTCAATTTCATAGTGGCAAACCTCAAATATGAGAGGGAAGGAGGACGACTGTCAGTCATGGAGGTCATCCATCTCCTGCTAATGAAATCGTCCCCAGAATTCGTCCAAGAGATCATTGGAACGTGCTTTCTCCCATTGTTCTTCGTTCTTGCCAACGATGATAGCGACAAATGCCGCTTACTCGCCGCAGGACTACTTCGAGAGGTTTTCCAGAAAGCCGACAAGCAACGGACGCAGCAGTTCCTCGGGTTGCTCCGATCCTGGCTGGAAAAGGACGATAACCCGGCAGTGCAGAGATTAGGCCTTGAAACATTTGGATACTACTTTGAATCGAACGAGGATGCCTCAAATAACAAAAAGGATGGCAGACTAGTGCTAAGAAAGACGGCCGACATTCTCAAAACTGAAAGCATCACTGACACCGACAGCCAGTTGGTTGAGACAGCACTACGTGTCCTTCAGCTTTTTACCGTGAACTTGCAAGATGAAGCGCTGTCTGAGAATAAGAAGGATCTCTGGGCTGATGCTGCTCGTTATCTCAGACATCCACAGCCGACGGTGAAGCTGACCGCGGTGCGATTGATCAACTCGTATCTGGCAGACTTTGCTAGGAAGCGGACCAAAGCATTCGCTGGAGAGGCAATCAAGGGCTCTCATGGCCTTAGTTTGGACCTGGACGTTATGTACAACTTCACGCGACTTGCACTTGGCTCCTTGAACAGCAACGAAATAGATGAGACTTTGGCTGCGGAGCTGGTGCAGGTTATTGTCTTCCTCGGCACTTGCCTTCCTGTGTCTACAGCTGCTGAGAGTGAAGTTGCAGAGAGCGAGGAGGGCAAGGAGAGTGGGGAGGGTGGGGAGGATGTAGAGGAAGTGGAGGAGCAAGACGAAGATGTCGCAGCCGCCAAGGGCTACCGCCAAGGGGTGGATTACTTGTTTTGGAGATTGTCACATATCCTCCGCCGAGAAATCCCGCCGCGGTCCCTGGCCATTAACTCCAAGGTTGCCGCCATGGAAATTCTGGAGACGGTCTGTCGCCGAGTCCTCAACACATCCAGCCGACCGTCTCTGAAGACCATACTCGTGCCATTGCAACAGCTTACGGATCGTTCCATACCCGCCCCTTTCAGTAACGACGAGATATTCAAGACCAAATTAGAAGGCATCAAGACCCGAGCCCAGATCATGATGGATTCTTTGCAGAAGAAGTTTGGCACCGCCGAATATAGCAGGGTCTTGGTCGAGATTCGCGAAGAAGTCAGGGCAAGGCGACTGCAGAGGAACAGCAAGAGGAAGATTGAGGCGATTACGCAGCCTGAGAAGTATGGTCGCGATAAGAGGAAGAAGTTTGAGAAGAATAAGGAGAGGAGAAAGGTGCGGTCATCGGAGCAGAAAGTGGCGAGACAATCGTACAAAGGCTGGTGAGGGAAGTGACGAGTGCGCATTTGTTTTTCTGGGAAACGGCGTTTTTGTTGGAAGGGCTCACAGGGTGTCATGAAGTCATCTATTGTATAGCTGGAGAGGTTTTTTTTTTTGCATTTTCCCACAAGGAGGTATTCTCTTGCAGCATGGTTATGTATGACATGGTGGCAAGACGTGAGAATGTATATAACTCTAGGTGTAGATTTACATGATTGTTCAACAAGCTTGTCATGTCTTTTTGCATCCTCCCATGGAGAGGGACGCTTTCTTTGTTCTATGCAGAGCAGGGTATCGCGATCTTTCCGCCTCGATCAGGTAAACATCTATCTAAAACACCAATGACCGTGCAATGGTAAGCATAGTCGTCGCAACACTCATCGTACATGATTGTTTTATACAGCTTCATATACCATGCTGAGGGTTATCTCCCATCGTAAAATCATTTAACTCCTCCCTCCCATTTTTCACTTTTCCTTGGACTCGCCCGCCTGCTCACTACTACTTCCTTCCTCCTCAGACCAAAATTCAATATCGCCATCTTCCCCCAGCCTCCCTCTCTTGAAGAGCCTCCCTCTCTCTCTCATCAAGTCCTCAACCGTAATCTTCCTTTCGCCAAAGATGTTGAGATGATCGCTAATGACATGTCTGTTCCTGCAGCTGGGACAGGTTATCAACGTCGAGCCCTTGTGGTAGCCCTGCTTCGACACGTTATGATGCGATCGATGCCCGCACGGCACGCAGGTAAACGTGAGCTGGTAGTAGGCTGGATTGGCGGGTGGTCTCTTCCCTTCGCTGACGGCTTCTTCGCCCGATAATGCCCTCGCGTGGGCTTCTGCCTCCGGCTTGACCTGAACGGGCGTCTTCTTTCGCGAGGGTGGACGGGGGATCGAGTGCGCGGCACGAACGGCAGCGATGGATGTTGAGGGGATTGCTTTGACGACGGCGCGGGAGGGATGTTGGAAGAGAGACGATGTTGTGGCGCGACGGAGAGACTGATGATGATGGAGCAGGTGGAGGAGTGGGCGGGATAATGAGGGCGCTTTAAATGCCATGATGTTTTTTCTTCTCTTCGTCTTCTGCTCTTCTAATATAGTGTTTTCTCCCTCTCGGAGCGCTCCTAATCGGATCTTTGGGAGGCGTTTGAGGTTTCGCGTTAGTTGTGGTGTCGGGTTTTCGCTTGGAGGCAGGCGTCTTCGTGATTCTGAAACCAGACGGCCCGGGGATTTGTTTTTTATCCACATGAATAATTCGTTATGGAGGGACGTCATGGCATGGGATGTGATTGGGCCGGGCGGGAACCTGCAGGTCGGTTGGTGGAGATGTCCCGACTTACAACTGGATTCGCAACTTTGTTCAAGTAGTATGCTATTTCATTCTACACCATCGCGCCAAAGAGATAGGAGCATCGAGACAGACATTCGGCTATGTCAATCTCCGCCTGGAATGCTTGCTTGGAATACAGGCTTGGACTGCGATGACTACGGCATGAATGAGGTCAAGTGATGATTCATTGCTGCCCTTCTCAGTCGAGGTTCTTGCAGAGCAAGTGCAGTGTGGGGCACTTGCCACGTTGGGTTATAAGTCGAGATTGAGGTCAGTTCCTGCTCACTTTTGGATCAGAAACTATGTTGAATGTCGGCAGTTACTACCCATTCGATGAAGAGAGATGAGTGGGCAAGCCGGCTCTTTTTTTCATCTTAAGTAGAGAATATTTCAAGACTTCCAAGAGTCAAGACACTCTTTCTGATTGACTCCATCTTTTCATCCTCGGGGCTGGCATATAAGTGGGCAGATTTCATCGCCATAGGAAGAAAAACCCGATTTCCAAGGAAGAAGCAGAGTAAGAAAAAAAATAGATGAAAATGATTCCATTTATGGGAGTATTTCTTTGCTTTGCCTTGGCCAGCGGCATCCTTGCCGGCAGCGACGATGCCAGCAAAGCCTTGGCCATGGTCAACCAGGCTCGACAAGCCAAGGGGATTCGGCCTCTCGCTTGGGACGCCGGTCTCGTAGCTTACGCGCAATACTGGGCCGACGAGATGGCGAGTGGCAGACGCGCCTTTGAGCACGCACAGGGACCGGATAGACCGAGCCAGGGTGAAAACCTCTATGAGCAATCTGCTGGGCAATGCGATGCCGCTTACGACAATCCGATGCAGACGGGGATGCATGCTTGGCTGTCACAGGAGCATCTGTATACCGGCCAGCCCATTACCACTGGTCACGAGCCGTGGCTGCACTGGGGTACAGTATTCATTCTCGAAACGAAAGAAGGGGAAACCTACATGCTAATTGGTTATATGATTTGTCACAGCACAATGTATGTGGTCTACAACGACAAATATCGGATGTGCGAGGGCGTATGCCTTGTCGGAGCCATACAAGTTCTTCGATGTCTGTCGATTTACACCAGAAGGAAACATGTGGGCGCAAATTCACTCTTTGCAGAAAATGAGCTGTACCTGTTTTGATATGACTGACACTAATGTGAATGGGCTTTTAGCGTTGGGCAGAGGCCGTTTTAAAAATGACCAGACCGGGCCGTCAATTGAAAAACCCTGGTGGAAAGAGGCATTGGCCGGAATCGGACGAAGAGGCTCGCAAAAACAACAAAATCAACAATGATATCTATTCTGATTTCAAGTTCATTGTGTTGGGATGAAAAATGGAAATACACATGACTCTCCAGAGGGAAGGTGTTGGCCATGCTTGTGTGATAGAAGGGAATCTGAGCTCGGAGTTGATGGCACTTGAAGAGATATAATTAATTTACGTTTAATAGCTAGGGAAGAAGTTGCGATTCTCCCATGCTCTTTTCAATTCTCGTCCTTTTGGAGTAGCGGCATAATCAGTGACTGAGATTCAAGTTTTCGTTATAATGCAGGCGTCGAAGGGGCCGAACTCCTAGGCCGCAGCGCCAGTGTAAGCAAGGAAGTAGTTGCGAGCAGAACGAGTCGTTGCAAGCAGAGGATGGTAAGCAAGGAATCGCGCAAGCGTTATGACAGAAACGCTGTATTAACTGAACTTTGGGCTGATAAATGAATAGACATAAGCATGTCAAGTCATAAAAAAAAGCCTTCAATTGAGAAGAGAAAGTAAAAATAAATAGATAAATAAAGAGAGACAAAAAACAACAATGTGAGGAACACCGGATTTGAACCGATAACCTTCAGGTATTTCCAGCACGACCTCTGGAATCTGACGCGCTACCGTTGCGCCAGCTCCCCTGTTGAAAGAATTGGCTTACTATCATAGATCATATCGGTACGTCCATTTGCATGGCTTTGGCCCCACTTGATTTGGCCGTCGAGTCTGCAGGTTTTCGGCCTGCATTGTTTATATGAAAAGTGAAAAAGAATGCTTAGAAGCCGTCAAAGTATGATTACTTGAACTGTGCTCCTCTTGTGCGAATGTGTATTTCATCTGAAAGAGCTTGTGGACATGAAGAGTCTCTGCCTGCGCGGGTTCATCAGCTGTCGTGGAATCTGTACAAGGGGCTTTTTGAACCACCTCCATCCCATCCACTCCAGCTAGGTAGTTGCCGATAGCAGTCCACTTTTCCATCATCTCTACCAAGCAACTGTCTCAAAAAAACATCTCTCAACCAAAAACAACCCGTTTCAAATACATAGCTTTGACCTCGTACAGACAGCGACATACTTGATTCTGACTTTTTACCGAAATATACCAACACTCGCTCGATCAGCCAGTGCTCCGCGCGCCCACTCAACCACTCTTGCCCACCTACTCGAACTACTCTTCATCAATCACTACAGACTTTTCCTCCTCCTCCTCCTCCTCATCCTTCCCCCCCAAATGCACACGTGTCTCGAGTGAAGAAAGGAGGAACAGCAACGCGCATAACTTGATCCGAAAATAAAGCCAACAATGGCATCGGCCGACGTGGGCATCCCGCGTCGTGAACGCGACCGCAGCGATCGAGCAATGCGAACCCAGCGAGATGGCGATTCATACCGGCCGCCGCGCAGAGAGCGCTCGCCACCTCCTGTGCGGACTGAGGAAGAAAAACAGGCTGCGGCCAAGGCAGAGTACGAGAAGCTTCTGACTATGAGATCGGGAGGCACCTATATCCCACCCGCCAGGTTGAGAGCCCTGCAAGCCCAAATCACCGACAAGACGAGCAAAGAGTACCAGCGCATGGCCTGGGAAGCTCTGAAGAAGAGTATCAACGGCTTGATTAACAAGGTCAACACTGCCAATATCAAACACATTGTTCCCGAGCTGTTTGGCGAGAACTTGATTCGAGGGCGAGGACTCTTTTGCCGCTCCATCATGAAGGCGCAGGCCGCGAGTTTGCCCTTTACGCCCATCTACGCAGCCATGGCAGCCATTGTCAACACCAAGCTGCCCCAGGTTGGCGAGCTACTCATCATGCGTCTGGTCATGCAATTTCGAAAAGGCTTCAAGAGAAACGACAAGTCTGTGTGTCTCTCATCAACGACATTCCTCGCCCATCTGATCAATCAGCAGGTGCAGCATGAAATGCTCGCCGGGCAGATTCTTCTCTTGCTGCTACATAAGCCGACGGACGATAGTGTGGAAATCGCTGTTGGCTTCTGCCGCGAAGTTGGACAGTATCTGGAGGACATGCAGCCCTCCATCTCCGTCGCTGTGTTTGACCAGTTCAGAAACATCTTGCATGAGGCCGACATTGACAAACGAACTCAATATATGGTCGAGGTTCTCTTCCAAGTGCGCAAAGACAAGTTCAAGGATAATCCTGCCATCAGGGAAGAACTCGATTTGGTGGAAGAGGAAGACCAAATCACTCATCGGGTGGAACTGGATGGCGAAATTGACGTCCAGGACGGCCTGAACATTTTCAAGTTTGATGCGGAATGGGAGGATCACGAAGGGGCCTACAAGAAGCTGAAAGCCGAAATTCTCGGTGAAGGAAGTGACTACGAGGACGACGACGAGGGTGATGAAGACGATAGCTCCGGAGACGAAGACGGAGACGACGGAGAAGAAGCGCAGACCAAGGCTATGGAGATCAAGGACCAGTCCAACGCCGATCTTGTCAATTTGCGAAGGACCATCTATCTTACCATCATGTCGAGTGCCGATCCCGAGGAAGCAGTACACAAACTCATGAAGATCAACCTTCCGGCAGGCCAGGAACCTGAGCTACCCTCCATGATTGTGGAGTGTTGCTCGCAAGAAAAGACGTACACAAAATTCTTTGGCCTGATTGGCGAGCGGTTCGCCAAAATCAATCGTCTCTGGTGCGACTTGTTCGAACAGTCATTTGCCAAGTACTACGACACGATCCACCGCTACGAGAACAACAAGCTCCGAAACATTGCTCAGCTGTTCGGCCACATGTTTGGCGTCGACTCCATCGGATGGCATTGTCTATCTGTGATTCACCTCAACGAGGACGAGACCACGTCGAGCAGTCGTATCTTCATCAAGATTCTATTCCAGAGTATCGTGGAGGAGATTGGAGTGGCCAAGCTCAAGGCCCGAATGGCGGATGATGTGTTGCGGCCCAATCTGGAGGGCATTTTCCCCAAGGACAACGCTCGCAACGTTCGATTCTCCATCAATTACTTTACCAGTATCGGGCTGGGGGCTCTCACAGAGGAGATGAGGGAACATTTGCAGAACATGCCGAAACCTGCCTTGCCGGCGCCGGTGGCTGCTGAGGAGGAGTCAGACTCGGATTCCGTCTCGAGCTATTCGTCGTATACGGGATCATCGTACTCGTCCCGGTCGAGGACGCCACCACGCCGGATCAGAGGTCGATCCACATCGCGGGCCGCCCCTGGTGATCGAGGACGAGCTCGCTCTTATTCGGATAGTCGGTCGCGGTCGCGGTCGCTCTCGCGATCTAGTTCACGGTCTCGTTCTGCATCCTATAGTTCACGATCACGATCACGGTCACGGTCACTATCGCGCTCGCAGAGCCCTCCTCCTCGGCGTAATCAAAGGGATTCATACTCTGCGTCACCACCCCGGCGTAGAAGATCTGTGTCTGGCGGCAGCGCAGCATCACGATCACCAACTCCAGACAGGAGACCGAGACGAGACAGTTTGTCTCGGAGCCCGGTGCGTAGCAGGAGACGAGACAGCCCGTCTAGGAGTCCAGTGCGCAGCATGCGCAGCAATAGACGCGATGGTCCTTCCAGGAGTCCAGTACGCAGCAAGAGACGAGATAATTTGTCCAGGAGCCCAGTACGCAGCATGCGTAGCAGGAGACGAGACAGTCCGTCTAGGAGCCCAGTGCGCAGCATGCGCAGCAATAGACGCGATAGTCCTTCCAGGAGTCCAGTACGCAGCAAGAGACGAGATAATTTGTCCAGAAGCCCAGTACGCAGCATACGCAGCAGGAGACGCGACAGTCTCTCTCGAAGCCCAATCCGCAGCAAGAGACGATACACAGAAAGTGTGTCAAGGTCACCCCCTCCAGTCAAAAGAGGCAGGCACATGAATTAATACTCGATTTGAAGAGGCCCTGCGAACGTGGCAACTGTTCCCTTCCCCCCCCTTTTTTTTTCTTTTTCTTTGCCTTTTCTTCGTTTTAGTACAACGTGCGATGAAGAGAGAGAGAGTAGCGGTCATGGGCAACTGAGGATCAACGATAGGGGAATGGATGGGCAGCGTATGTATCGTTACCAGTGGGAGACGGCCGAGGAGGCAATGAGTTGCGGATCAAAGTTGCTGGCTGTTATGTTGCATATGCATACGTCGATATTTACGAGTCAAGCGCTTGAGTGTCGTGTCGCATGTATAGGAAGTAGGCAGTGCGTCCTGAATGTTGGCATTTTTGGTTGCCTGGTAGTTGTCGAGGTTCATGGTTACTACGTAAGGCTTACCGTGCCCGTCTGTGAGGCTCGTCGCTACTCTCGCGAGGTTCATGCTACGGTCCGAGGCTTGCCCGCTTGTAATCTTTGTCGCAGACTTGCTCATCGTGCCAATAGCCTCGTTCGACCTCTCGAGCATGTACATACAGTGTTACCACGCAGGGTCGTCCTCTTAGCTGATGGCTTAGTTTTTTGCATACTATTTCGGGTCTCATCGCACATGTCGTCTCTTGCGCATATTTCTCCCCTGCATCTAGGATTCCCCTTCTTCTCCATTCCCAGGCCAGAATACCGTTCCTCCTCATTCTCATCCATGACCTCCACCGTATTCAGCGCACGCGACGGATACTCGCCATGAAGACCTGGCTCAGCAGACCAAAATACATAAATTGAATAGACCCCTTGACGACACTATCACTCATGGACGGAAAGCAGCCGCTTCGTATCTCTAACACAACGCCGTTTCAGCGGAATCTCATCTCCTTCATCCATACAATATTAGGGTCTCGTTTTTTGGTTCTTTTTTTCCCACTCGGCTCAACCACACGGATTAGACAGGACAGATCACGATTCACAGCCCGTCTCGTCTCTAGATCAGGGCAAAGAAACAACCAATGAGAAGACATGGCCGAAGAACGAGCGAACAAACGAAGGACAACCAACTCTAGCAAACGGACTCGGGGGTCATATTCAGAATAAATCGCCCACGTGAACCCCAAGAAGAGACACCACCCCCCCCCCTTCCTCCATCTCGACTCTCAACATCCATCTCCTGCGATATCCTTCCTGGGAATCCCTCCCCCTTTTCAGCTTACTCGCGCAGAACCATCCATCACCACAAGATCCTGAACCCCCGACGTTCCCCAAGTAAGACGAAAAGAGAAAGAAGAAAGCCCCGTCCGTTTCTCGTTTCCCGCCATGTTCTCGTCCGGTACCTCCTTCAACCAGACTTTCCAGCACGCAATGAATGCCTCGCGAGAGAACCCTTTCGCCGCCGCCGCGGTAGGCGCCGGCCTTCTCTTGGCAGTCGCGCCGGGTCTCGTTGCTGCTCCGGCTCTGGCCATGCTGGGGTTTGGAAGCTTGGGTCCTGTCGCCGGTACGTGGTTCTCGGCTTTTCTTTTTGATTTTTCCTTGGCAGAAATGAAGAAAAAAAGGAAAAAAAGAACAACAAAATTGACATTAATCAACACACAGGATCGACTGCCGCCATTGTCCAGAGCGGTATTGGAAATGTCGTCGCGGGGAGCCTCTTTGCGACGCTGCAGAGCGCGGGGATGGGGGGCGCGGGTGCCGTGGCAGTCAATGGTGTTGTTTCTGGGGCTGGGGCCGTTTCGACTCTTGCCGGGGGTGTCTCTTGCTTGGTGGGCGGTGGAAAGGGTGATGATAAAGGTGATGATGAC